CTGGGAGGCACAGTCCTGGCTCTGTCTGTGACTCACAGTGACCACGGTGGAGTGTGACTCCGTCCCCAGGGGTGGCTGCCTCGGAGCACAGCGCCGGGCATCACCCCTGCGGCGCCTGGCCCAGCAGCCCAGGAGGTGGTGGGATTCGGTCTACCTGGCACACTGGGGAGTGGAAAGGAGTAACAAAGCATCTCTCTATGCACAGCCAGGGTGTCAGAAAGATGAAGTGGGATGAAATTATAGGACGCCTGGGATTTGCCTAAAATAACCCAGGGGGAAGGAGCGGTGGGTAGGGACACGTGAAGCCAGCTGGGCTGTGAGAGGGTGACTGTCAACGTGGGAGATGGCAGCGGGCACGCACTATTCTCAGCTCTCCATTTTTGCATACTTTTAAAATTTCCATAATAACAAGGTTTTTAAAAAATATCTGAAGGCAGCCCCAAGCAAGGCAGCGCGCTCCCGCACCGGCCCAAAGCAACTCCAGGCCCAGCCCGGCGGCTCGCAGAGCGTGCTCCACGCCTGGGGGCTCCCAGCCCTCTCCAGAGCTCTGCCAGGCCAAAACTGCCTCAGTGCTACTGAGACATGATTTGCCTTTTGCTCCACATTGACCTTTACCCCAATGCTGCAAAATCAACAGAGGGTAAAGCTGCTGGCCTCTCCCCACAAATGAAGGCCCTGACCCCAAACCGCACTTGGGGTCAGGGCTCACTGCTGTTCACTCAGGAAAACAATGCCAGTGTCTCTTAAAAATATCCATTATGAAATAGTAAGATTATTAATTTTGCATTAGACCCCTAAGTACCCCTGTACTGATGTTCTGAGCAAGACAGCAGGGCGCGCAGGAAGCAGACCAACTGCACTTGGAGGTCCACCGTGGCCGGGGGAGCCCCAGGCAGCTGGTGGGCGGTGGGCCCAGCTAGCTGCTACTCTCCAGCCCAGCCCACCACTTCTATGCGAAACAACAGTTGGACGGACTTTGGTTATTCAGACTTAGGTATGTGGCAGACATTTTCTCAAAAATGAATACAGCGAGCCTATCACTTCAAGAACAACTGATTATTATTTGCTGCCAAAGAGAAAATTTGAGCTTTTGAATGCAGACTGGAATTTTAGAAAACTTGTATCCTCTACTGGGAGCCTGATGACTGCCCCATACTGCATACCTGATGAACCCATATGTTCCAAGTGACTGGTGCGAGATGTCACTCATGTATAAGGCAGGCCAATTTCTCTGGTCATTATGGTTTCAGATCTTCCACTGCAATGAACTTCAGAAACCACTTGTCTTGTTGTAGTAGCAAATTACTTAAAGTAGCCACAATCACTTTAAAAGACTATTAAAATACCAAATGGGTTTTACTCATAGAGTGTGGTTGGGTTTTATTCGTATATTTGAACAAAAACAACAGACTGCAAAACACTGGTGCAGAAGCAGACAGGTGGATCAAGCTATCTTCTGTTACGCCAGAAATTAGCAAAAAAAAATCAAACAGTGCCACTCTTCCTGCTAATTTTTGTGCTTTCGGAAAATACAGGTTTGCTTTTATTAATGAAGTGGGTTTATCATTATTAATTATTAATTTGAATGAATGAATAAATATTTTTAAATTTATCCATTTTAATTTCTAATATAGTAAACAGTGGTAGATATAACCCAAATAAAAACTGTCTGGGGCACCCAATATTTTCTAAGAATGTAAAGAGGTCCTGAGGCTGAAGAGTTTGAGAATCACTGGCCTAAGCGGGCCCTTGATTAAAGGGGCTGGAAACGTACACATACGTGATCACTGCAGTATGATATGGAATAAAGGGGGAAATGTTATGTCCCTTCAATAAGAGAAAGGATAAACTGTGACATATTCATACAATGGAATATCATGCTGCTATGAGACACACAAACACACACACACATCTCAAAAACACACTGTTGTGAAGAAAGGGAAATGGTCAAAAGATCTGTACCAAGTGATGCCACTGATTTCCATTTTAAGACAACAAATGACATTATGTATTGTTTATGGATAAACACACACACACACACATAAACGTAGTCAAACCAACCTTCAGAAGGATGAACCCACCAAGTTCATAATCTTGTCTGCCTTTGGGGAGAAAGGGAACAGCACTGGGAGGCACTTCAACTCTTGTCTGTAATGTTCAATTTCTCTTGTTTAAAAGAAACGGTGGGGAGGTGCTTTTCCCTGCTCCTGGCTAGAAAGCAAGCCTGATGGAGGGTACCTCCCCTCCAAAGCTCCTGACTTCTCTGAGATGGTTATCACCTTCTGGATATCTCTCCTGGTAGCTGCTGGAATCCAAGGAGTGTATGACCTTGATGCAGCCAGCCAATCTTGTGTTGGCTATTAGGAAAGATTCTGTTCTAGGCCTACCTGAAACCTTGGTCAATGCTGTGAGGATGAAATTTATAGACCTGTTAATGTTTAATGTCCCTTTCTATATTTTTATAATTCAGTCCTGTATTTTTCATTACTATTTAAACTCTATTGAACCCTGTCTAGGTAACACACGTTGATTCCAATGGCCTTCCCAAAGGGCTCTCCATTTCCATAGCTGTGTTCATACCCCACTCCAGGCCCTGGGGTTTCTTTTTTTTTTTTTTTAAGATTTATTTATTTTAGAGAAAGAGAGAGAATGAGAGGGAGAGGGAGGGAGACTCCCAAGCAGAGTGCGCAACGAGCACGGAGCCAGATGTGGGACTCGATCTCATGATCCTGAGATCATGAGCTGAGCTGAAACCAAGAGTTGAGAGCTTAGCCAACTGCACCACTCATGCACCCCTGGGCCCTGGGGTTTCTTCAGGACACAGGAGGAAAACTTGATAAATGTCAAAGTTTTTGTGCCTGATTATTTCTTGCCTTTCAAGAGTAAACTTATGAACCTCCAATCAAATACTCACCTGCCAGCACAACAAATATATAAAAAGTAAACAAGTATAGAAAGAAAAAGAAAGGTTTATAACGCCCAAAGGAAAAAACAAAACAAAACAGTGATTTTAAGGAACTAAGCAAAGGGAAACTCCTTATTAAGCCTAGCTGGAAAGCCAGGCTTCCACTTTGGTACTGTCCTACAGATGGCCTGTCATCAAAGAGTATCAGGTCACTTACCATCTGTCTGCCACAGGGGCCTACCTACCATCATCCTCAGCCACTTGCATTCCACATTTGCCAATTTTAAGTTTAAAAATCAATGGCAGAGGATCAGCACCTAGTCTACAGCAGCTTAGGGGCTCCCTGGAATTCTTTTGATGGCTAGCCGCCCTCATTCTGGAAGGGCACCTGGTTTCCTTGAGATTCCTCAGCCCCACACTGAGCACCTACTATGTGCCAGGCGCTGGCAGAGTATCAGGGACACAAAATGAATGAGGTAAGGAACGAAAGACTCATCAGGCTACCATACCAATGAACCTCAAAAAAATGTGCCAAGTAAAAGAAGCCAGACACAAATGACCACATATTGTATGAGAACATTTATGTCAAATGTCTGGAAAAGGCAAATCTACAGAAACAGCAGATTAGTGGTTGCCTGGGGCTTGGAATGAGAGTGGCTGGTGCCTGTGAATGGGAATGAGGGTGTCTCTGTAGCATGATGGAAATGTTCTAAAACCGGACCTTGGTGATGGTTGTACAACCCTGTAAATTGACTAAGAATCATTGAATCGTACACATTAAGTAGGTGAATTTTATCAATAGTGACGTTCCCTAAGCTGACCATTCACTTCTGCTTGTCAACCAGCATTCCATGAACCTCTAGGGCAGTCCTTCTCAGGTGTTCAGTGAGAACACTGAGCCCCACTGCCGGGGCACACAGTTTGCAATGACTTAACTTCTCCCCTCTGCATTCTGATGGTGTCAGTTATGTCCCAAATTGAGAAAAGAATCTCTGGAGTCATTCTCACTGGGGTTTTCACTGATCTCTCAAGGAACCCCAGTTGAGAAAGGCTGCAGACTATACAAAGATCCACACTAAATTGTTTCCCCTGAAGTCTAAAGATTTCATTAAAAATAATTTCGGAGGTTTTAAATCACTTGATAAATTTTTATTATAATAATTTTATAGGCCAAAGGATGACAATTCCATTTCACGCAGTATTTTTTTTTTTCCCCAAAAACGAAATGCTTCTCTAAGTGGGGTCAAGGAATCTTTAAAATCTTTGTTCCTTTAAAAAATCTTAAAGGATAATTTCATAGAGTCACATATCAAGCGACTTAGGAGAAGATACCATTTAGGTCACGAGGATACTCCTAAACAGTTCCCAGTTTTCCACTCTGGCTTGGAGGCTTTCCATGCCCACAAGTGCATTCAGGGTGAAAGACCCCCACAAGCCTTCTCCACATTTGGCTTCCTCCCGAGCTCACAGCTTAGTCTGTGTTCAACTGCACCGCACAATCTCAGGAAGGACCGGGCCCGCTCTCCAGGCCTCCGTTCTCCCTAGGATGCCGGGCGCCCTGCCCCAAAGAGCGCATTGTGCAGGCGAGATCGGGCCTGCTCCCGGGTGAGCTGAAGTGTGGGCACCGCCACTTTGCCGAGTGCCCTCCCCGCCGCGTCCACCCGGGCTTCCATGCACACCAGGGCGCCCCGCCGCCGAGGGCACTCGCCGGCCCGCGCCGTCTGGCCCCATCGTACTGGCTGAGATCCGTCCCCGCAGCTCGGCCCTCCGTCAGACCCCCGGGGAAAGGCCGCCCCCCGCCCCCCGCCCCCTAGCTTCGACAATCCCACCACCCGCCTCCGTCCGTTAGGCGGCCCTTCCATCAAACAGACGGCGCCCCTCCGCCGGCTCTCTCCCTAACGACGCCCTAGAAGGGACAGAGCCCGCCCCCTTTTTAGGATGCCAGGGCCGCGGTCTGGGAGCGGCCCGCGCGGTGCTGGGCGGGCTCGGCGAGGGCCTGGTCTGGGGTCCAGCCTTTCCTCGGCCGCCCCCCGCGGCTCGGGGGCAGGAGCAGGCGCCGGTCTGGACCCCACCGTGGCCCGCTGCCCGACCTCACCCGAACACGTGCTCCGAGCTCCAGATCTTCATCGCCGCCGCCCGCCAGCCGCAGGGCGCGGGCTCCCCGCTCGGACCCCGCGCGCCCGATCCTGCGCGCCCGGCTCCTCCCTCCAGGCGCGTGGGGGCGGGGCGGGGGCGGGGCGCGCGCGGCGGGGGCGGGGCCGGGCGCTCTCCGGCCCCGCCCGCTTGCCTGTCACTTGGCCACGAGGGTTATGGCGGCTAAAAATAGGAATGCGGGACCCAGCTGGAGCCGCGGATGGGGGATCTGCGCTGCGGCAGGGAGATGCGCGGACAGCACCGGCTGCAAATGCAGGGATGGGAGGCGAGGGACTAATGCTCATCGCTCAGTTTGTCCAAATTCTCCCAAAGCGCTCTCCAGCCAGCCTGGTTTCTACTCCTGGTAAGTATAAAGAAAAGCAAAATCTCCTGCCAGACCCCCCAAAACTCCCCAAGGAAATAGAAGAAAAAGAAAACAGTTTTAGTATTGAGTCGCATTAAACCAGAAGGTAATGTGCGTCACAGGCTCTCCTAAAGAGATTGCAAAGACAGCAAGAAATCTCACCCTTTTATATAGTTACATAGCCAGGCAGGTGCGACACCTACATCCATGTTCTCAAGTGAGAGGACTCGACCACACCTTTTTAGGGTGACACAGAGTTCACCCTAAATTTACCTGGTGATTAGAGTGACTGTTTTTGTTTGCTAATTGTCTTTATCCGAAGAAGCAATAAAATTCTCATGTCGTTGCCATAGAAGGTAGGTTTGAAGCCAGGTGCTCCTGGAAATTAAGCTAACATTTCAGAGAGATGGTGCCCAGGACCTTGAGAAAGAACATTTCTGGGTTAGAACTGGCAAAAGGCCTACTTAGCTTTTTAAAAACATGTACACATCTCGAAAGGATGAAGAATGTACAAGTTTTCTAGAGTAAATGCTCTTTAAGAAGGGAAAGGAGAGGCTCTTTTCCTTTTGCACCAGGAAGAAATCGATTTTTTTCTTTTTAGATTTGTATTTACTCTGCACTACCACAACCAAAGTTCAGGTACAAAGAAGCAGATGTTTGTTTTGCGAAGAAGAGAAACCTGCGCAGAATGAGATGGGGTGTGAGGGCAGGGGACCTCATCTAGCCTGCTACTGAATCCCAGCACTTAGCACAGCACGAGGCACTGACTGGGCGTCTGGAACCTGTTTGTGCAATGAGCCAGGGAAGAGGAAAGCGCTCACGGAACCAGCCAGAAGACCTAGGTTAGGCTACCATCTACTCACATTGACCTTTACCACCTATGGCTTTAACCTTACAGTAATCTTCCAAAGTTGGTGGTACTGTGCCTGTTTTATAGATGAGCAAAAGAGAACTCACAGAGCAATGCAGTCTGTCTGATGGAGGGGCCGCCTGGCTGACGAGGCCCACGGTGGAACTGCAGAAGCAGGGGGCAGGGGGCAGCTTTTCCTTTGGGGTTCGTGGAGGGCTGAGCTGCTAACGTATAGGACTGGACAGTGGGGTTTGCATGATTTCCCCCTCACATCTGTGCTACAATGGCTCACAGTTATGATCAGGCCCGTTGTGGAACACTTCCTACGCACTCAGCCCTAGAAAGCTAGGTGCTGTTATTTTGGTTTTTAAAAACCATCATCATTTACAGTCAGCATTTTCCACAAATGGGAATGGAGCAAGAGCTTTAAGGAATGGGGCTGGATGGTGAGTTAGAACACACTGTAGGGGAGACAGCTCCTGTAGGTTGCTCCAGGTCTGCGAGGGATGAGCTGCTGAGTTTGCATCTCATCATGTGAGGAAACTAAGACCCTAACCAGGTGAGGAAACTAAGACCCTAACCAGGTGGTGCCTTGGTACAGAAACATGCTGTGTATGGTGAAGCTGGGTAACCGAGAAGGGGGGAGAAATGAGGACCACCTTCTGTCCCTTGCCCTGCCCTCAGGTCTCCCTGACACACAGCTGTGGCTTCTCAGGCAGCCACGCCCAGCTCAGGTGTCTCCCCATCCGTGCAGCTCCCTCTTTCTGATTACATCACAGCCTATGCACACCTCCCCTTGAGACTCCCCACAATCTATTATGATCATCTGCGATTTTCTGCCTCTCCCACCAGGCTAAAAAACCTTTTGAGATCAGATATTAAGTTATCCTTATCCTTAGTGTTTCCAGAGTCAGAAACATAGTTGGTACACAATGAATCCATAATTGTTGAACAACCAACGAAAGTCACATCCCTGCTTGAAGTTCTATCCTGATACCTCCATCTCTGGTCAAAGACCACACTTTCCTTCACTCCGTTAGCAGCAGCTGCAGCACCTGGGAGCCTCTTAGAGATGGAGACCCCGGGCCCCACCCTCAGCCCGGCCATGCAGTAGGCGGGGGCCGAGGGGGACAGACGTTTGTGGTTTAACAAGTTCCCCCAGGGACTCCGATGCCAATGGAGACCAACGGCCTCAAATCCACCTTGCCCAATTTGCCAGCCAGATTGGGCAAAGTGCTTCCTTGTCATCACCAGACATTCGTTCATACTATTTCTTCCAGCCAGAATGTGCTCCTCCATGCTTGTCCCGGAAGCATCTTCCAGATGAAGAGAGAAGTAGATGCAAAAATTCAGAAACATGAGGGGGTACAGTGCTCTTAAGAGGCTGTAAGTTGCCTGTAAGGCTGGATTGCAAAGTCCCAGGGGGAAGTGGCAAGACCTGAAGCTAGAAAGGTAGACAAGGAGCCATATCATAAGGGCCTTATATATTTCATTCCAAGAAGTCGAGATTTAATTTTGACGACAACGGGGTTTTGACAGATTATAGAGTTTGAGATCTCTGAAGCAAAACAGTTTAAAATACAAGCAAGATCCGGGAAGTACACTTGGCTGGATGTGGGGGGCTCAGTGAAATGGAGATGAGGATGCTCCATTTAGTCTTCTGTCCCAAGTCTGTATTCAGAGTCGCCTGGCGGTGTGGAGCCTGCCTGCCCGGGGGCACCCACAAGTCTCCACTGCAGTAATGCGTGCGCTTATATCCCAGGGTGGGCGTCTGGGGGAGAGGCAACCACGTGCTTTTCATTTTTCTTTTCCCAGTGCCTGGAGCACAGAGGCTTAATACATTCATTCCACTGAGTGGATAGCAGGGATCTGCTCCAACTGCCCTTTGAGGCGATAAGGGGCCACAGCGTGAGAGGTAGAGCGGTGGTCCCAGCCACGGCTGTATGCTGGAGTAATCGGAGGAGCTTTGAAAAGCACCAACGCTGGGAACCCACCCAGGGGCTTTTTATTTCATTGGACTATCATGTGGCCGGTCTAGAAGCTGGTCCCCAGCGCAGAGGAGATAAATGAGTGCTTGGGCCGGCGCAGTGGGGATAAGACTTGGAAACACTTAAAGATCTTATAATCAGTTGGGTTTAGTGGAGAAGGAAAGAAAGGACTGCCCACCCTCCTTCCCTCTTGTCCCTCATCCCTGTCATTTACTGAGGAGTTGGCAGTTTGGCTTGCGGGGGGTCCCTCTCTCCACCCCCACTGCCCCACCCTGGCCATCTATTGCCTTAATTCTTTTTTTTCCAAATTTTATTTTTTTTGAGTAGCCTCCACGCCCAACGTGGGGCTCAAACCCACGACCCCCCGAGATCATGAGTCGCATGCTCTACCGACTGAGCCAGCCGGACACCACTAATTGCCTTCATTCTTCGCACTGTCAACATCTGTGTGGATGATCCATGCAGACGCTCCAACATCTGATTCCTGGACCTTCCTAACTTTAGATACCTTCGTCCCCACTTGACTTCAGCCACCCACTCCCCACCAGGCCTGCTGCCTGGATCTTGCTTATGTTTTGAATTCCACCTTAAACATCTCAAGCTGCAATGTCTTACTCTGGGGGACTCTCTGCCTCCCTAGCAGGACAATGACTGTTTAGGTGGCACCTCTCTCACATCCGTAAGTGCTCAGGGGAGGCAGATCCCACCCCACTTGTTTCAGGGCTGAGCTGAGGTCTGAGGGTCTGAGGACTGGCTCCGGAGCCAGCTTGTGACCCAATGCTGACCACGGAGCATGAGGGAGCCTGCTGCGAGGTTGCGGGGAGAAAGTTTCTTGCTCCAAAGAGCAAGTTATCAGAAACCATCACTTCCATTGCATAACTGCTAGAACTGGTGTGACCCCCTTGCTACCAGTAGGAGGATGAAATCAGCACCGAGAATGGAAATTGATAGGAAAAAGGCCGTAGTGAACCCTTTCTCAGCCAGCCTGAAATGCCCTTAGCCAGGGACTCACAGCCATGCTATAATAAATGTTTTCATTGTTTCATGTCATTGGAATTCACATTTTAGCCTAAAGCCCCCAAATGATACACACACCTTCTGAGCGAAGCCTCCAGTCCTCTCCTCTGGAATATTCCACCAGTGCCTTCCCCACTCACCCTAGGCCACAGTTCACAGAGAAGTGACCCCGGGTCTCTCCGCTCCATGCTGGACGGACGCTACAATCTGCCATCTCCGGTCAGGGCCCACAGGACTCCATGCCACTGGTATGAGGTCACACTCTTATGGATCACTGCAGAGGGAATGGCAGGCGCCCTGTTCCATCCAGACCCTCCAAGGACACTTTGCCTTATCTTTGGACAGCATGATCCCCCAAGTGATTGCCAACCTTTACCACTGTCTCCATACCTCCCCTTCAGTTCCTGTCCCCCTCATTCGGGGCAGGTGACTTTACTTCTCGCTAAATGGAGACAATTAAGCCAAGAGGTGATCTCTTTCAACCTCAGGCCATTATAGTGTATTGTGCTGCTAAGAGCGATATCCAGAGGGAGGCTGCCCAGGTTCAACTGGATAACCAACTACTGATTGTATGACCTTGAGCAACTTGCTTATGTCCGAGCCCCAGACTCTTGGTGTGTAGAGTGGTTGAATGGGCCACAAAGGCAGTCAGGGCCCAGCAGTGTTAGACACATAGCAAGTGTCCAATATGTAGTGGTTCCTATCATGATCTAGACCCAGGCCAAGCTCCCCTCCGTCCTCCAGTCTCAGGTGACCCGCTCTTCTCTGGGTCTCCTGTCCCCTAGGCACCTGCTCCACTAGTCATCCCTTCCACACATGGGGCATTTCACTTCACATCCACCCTGGATTATAAATATGGCC